GTTGGTCATGGGAGTTCTGTGTGCCAAGATTGGTTCAATTCCATCATTGGTGGAGTTCAGGATGCTCTTTGATTGTTGGTGAACTATAAATCCCAGCAATTACAACTCCCAAATGTCAAGTTCCATTTTCCCCAAACTCTACCAATATTCACACTTGGGCATATTGCGAATTCGTGCCAAGTTTGGTCCACATCCATCTCTGGATGTAGGTGAACTACAACTCCAAAACTCAAGATCAATGCTCACCAAATCCTCCCAGTATTTTCTGTTCATCGTAGGAGTTCTGTGTGATAAGTTTGCTTCACATTTGGGCATATCGAGTATTCGTGTAGAGTTTGGTCCAAATCCATAATTGTTTGAGTGCGCAGTGATCTCTGGATGTAGGTGAACTATAACTCCAAAACCAAAGGACATTGCCCACTAAACACTTCCAGTATTTTCTGTTGGTCATGGGAGAACAGTGTGCCAAGTTTGGTTCAATTCCATCATCGGTGGAGTTCAGAATGCTTTTTGATTGGAGGTTATCTATAAATCCCAGCAACTACAACTCCCAAATGACAAAATCATCCCCCAACCCCAGCAATATTCAAATTTGGGCACATCTTGTATTTGTGCCAAATTTACTTCAGTGAATGAGAATACATCCTGCATATCAGATATTTGCATTATGATTCATAACGGTAGCAAAACCACAGTTATAGAAGTAACAACGAAAATAATGTTATGGTTGGGGGTCACCTTAAGAACAGACAAGAATCCCGAGCTCTGAGGATTATTACCTGGGAAGGAATCCCACTGGAGCATTGCAGCGCACCCAAATACCTGGGAGTCACTCTGGACTGTGCTCTGACCTACAAGAAGCACTGCCTGAACATCAAGCAAAAAGTGGGCGCTAGAAACAATATCATACGAAAGCTGACTGGCACAACCTGGGGATCACAACCAGACACAGTGAAGACATCTGCCCTTGTGCTATGCTACTCTGCTGCTGAGTACGCATGCCCAGTGTGGAACACATCTCACCACACTAAAACAGTGGATCTGGCTCTTAATGAGACATGCCGCATTATCACGGGGTGTCTGCGCCCTACACCACTGGAGAAATTACACTGCTTAGCTGGTATTGCACCACCTGACATCCGCCGGAAGTAGCAGCCAATAGTGAAAGGACCAAGGCAGAGACATCTCCAGCTCATCCCTTGTTTGGGTATCAGCCATCGACTTAAATCAAGAAATAGCTTTCTAAGATCTACAGAGACACTTGCTGGAACACCTCAGCAAGCGAGAGTCCAAAAGTGGCAGGCTCAAGCCCAGAACCTCAATCAATGGCTGATACCAAATGAGAGAATCCACCCTGGGCACACAGAAGACTGGGCGACTTGGAAGGCGCTGAACAGACTGCAGTCTGCGATATGCAGAGCCAACCTTAAGAAATGGGGCCACAAAGTGGAATCCACGACATGTGAGTGCGGAGAAGAGCCAACCACTGACCACCTGCTGCGATGCAACCTGAGCCCTGCCACATGCACAATGGAGGACCTTCTTGCAGCAACACCAGAGGCACTCCAAGTGGCCAGATACTGGTCAAAGGACATTTAATCAACTACCAAGCTTGCAAACTTTGTGTCTTTTTTATCTGTTTGTTTGCTTTGTTCTGTTAGAAATGTAATACAATGGTCTGTTTGCCCCTGACACGATAAATAAATAACCACAACATGAGGAACTGTATTAAGGGGTCGCGGCATTAGGAAGGTTGAGAACCACTGGTCTATTCTATATAGTTATAGCATTGTGACACCAGTTTAGCTGCTATGGCATCGAGCTGTAACTATTTATATTTTAAGATAACATCTATGGCTTCAGATATGAGGCCAACCTGCTACACAGGGGTACAGGAAGGAAGCCCGATTCCCAAATATAACAAACCAAAGTTAAGAGCAGGGCAGGTGTGTCTGCCTTTCCACCCTCTTTCCTTCCAAAGAAGAATGAGGTTCCCCACTCCCCTATTAAGCACCGGAAGGGCCAAAATAGGAATCTGACGGGATCTGCATAGTTGGGATGACTTATGGGTCACTGCCATTCCCAAGGCTCAAGTGACATCTGTGTTTTCCTTACTGAAAAGGGTGCTGAGCTATGTCCATGAGAAAGCAACGGGAAGGAATGTGCCTTATCTCCCAAGGGAATGCCTTTTGTCCTGGTTGCGACTGCAAGGGTGCTCAAGAGGCGCATCATGCCCACGGGCCTTGTAAAACTACATTGCTATGATTCCATAGCCTAGAGCCAAGACAGCTGAAGTAGTGTCAAACTAAATTGGTTCTACACTCTAGTCCAGTGTTTCTCAACCTGGGGGTCAGGACCGCTAGGGGGGTCGCGAGTAGGTGTCAGAGGGGTCGCCAAAGACCATCAAGAAACACTGTATTTTCTGTTGGTCATGGGAGTTCTATGTGCCAAGTTTGGTTCAATTCCATAGTTAGTGGAGTTCAGAATACTCTTTGATTGTAGGTGAACTATAAATCCCAGCAACTACAATTCCCAAATGTCAAGATCTATTTCCCCCCAAACTCCACCAGTGTTCACATTTGGGCATACTGAGTATTCGTGTAGAGTTTGGTCCAGATCCATCATTGTTTGAGTCCACAGTGCTCTCTGGATGTAGGTGAACTACAACTCCAAACTCAAGGTCAATGCCCATCAAACCCTTCCAGTATTTTCTGTTGGTCATGGGAGTTCTGTGTGCCAAGTTTGGTTCAATTCTATCATTGGCGGAGTTCAGAATGCTCTTTGATTGTAGGTGAACTATAAATCCCAGCAACTACAACTCTCAAATGTCAAGGTCTATTTCCCACAAACTCCGCCAGTGTTCACATTTGGGCATATTGCGAATTCATGCCAAGTTTGGTCCACATCCATCTCTGGATGTAGGTGAACTATAACTCCAAAACCAAAGGACATTGCCCACTAAACACTTCCAGTATTTTCTGTTGGTCATGGGAGAACAGTGTGCCAAGTTTGGTTCGATTCCATAGTTAGTGGAGTTCAGAATACTCTTTGATTGTAGGTGAACTATAAATCCCAGCAACTACAATTCCCAAATGTCAAGATCTATTTCCCCCCAAACTCCACCAGTGTTCACATTTGGGCATACTGAGTATTCGTGTAGAGTTTGGTCCAGATCCATCATTGTTTGAGTCCACAGTGCTCTCTGGATGTAGGTGAACTACAACTCCAAAACTCAAGGTCAATGCCCATCAAACCCTTCCAGTATTTTCTGTTGGTCATGGGAGTTCTGTGTGCCAAGATTGGTTCAATTCCATCATTGGTGGAGTTCAGAATGTTCTTTGATTGTAGGTGAACTATAAATCCCAGCAACTACAACTTCCCAATGACAAAATCAATCCCCCATCCAACTCCACGTAGTATTCAAATTTGGGTGTATTGTGTATTTGTGTCAGAGTAGTTTGACATATTCATTCTCTGTAACTTTTTCCTGCATATCAGGTATTTACATTACAATTCATAACAGGAACAAGATTACAGTTGTGAAGTAGCAACAAAAATAATGTTATGGTTGGGGGTCACCACAACATGAGGGACTGTATTAAGGGGTTGCGGCATTTGGAAGGTTGAGAAACACTGCTCTAGATGCACTGTAGGACTTTTGGAAAGCAGGGTTCAAATCTGGATGACTTTGGGATAAAACATGCTGTGTCAAGATCTATTTCCCCCCTCAAAGCCTCAAAGGAAGGGAATGGCAAATAATAATAGTAATAATAATAGTAATATAATAATAATAATAATAATAATAATAATAATAATAATAATAATGTGTTAATAAACAAAGTATGGATCATCAATGTCACAATCCCAGGTGACAGCAGGATTGCAGAGAAACAACTGGAAAAGCTGACACGATATGAGGGTTTAAAAATCGAACTGCAAAGACTCTGGCACAAACCAGTCAAGGTGGTCCCAGTGGTGATCGGCACACTGGGTGCAGTGCCTAAAGACCTTGGCCTGCACTTAAACACAATCAGCGCTGACAAAATTACCACCTGCCAGCTGCAGAAGGCCACCTTACTGGGATCTGCATGTATTATTTGCCGATACATCACACAGTCCTAGACACTTGGGAAGTGTCTGACATGTGATCCAATACAACAGACAGCAGAGTGATCTTGTCTGCTGTGGACTCATCTTGTTGTGTTTCAAACTGTTGTTGTAGTAATAACAATAATAATAATGATAATAATAATTTGAAACACAAGATGAGTCCACAGCAGACACCCGCTGGCTGTTGAATTGCTGAATTATTATTATTATTATTATTATTATTATTATTATTATTATTATTTGAATCACAACAAGATGAGTCCACAGTAAACAAGATCATTCTGCTGGCTATTTCTTGTCCCCACTTATCGTCCCTGTAAGGGGGGTGGGATCGAGAGCAGGGCCTCCCCGGATGATCTTAACCTCTGAGATGGTTCATAGGGGGAGATACGTTTGGACAGGTAAGCTGGGCCGGAACCATTTAGGGCTTTATAGGATAAAACTAGCACTTTGAATTGTGCTGGGGAGCAGACTGGTAACCAGTGGAACTAGCACAACAGGAGGGATGTCCTCTCTCTGTATGCTGCTCCCGTGGGATTACTTGAAGCTTTCAAACAGTCTTCAAAGGCAACCCCACATAGAGTGCATTGCAGTAGTCTATTCAAGTGTGAACTACCGTGGCCAAATGTTGACTTCCCAAGGTATGGACACAACTGGCGCACAAGTTTTAATTGTGCGAAAGCTCCCCTGATCACCGCCGAAACCTGGAGTTCCAGGCTCAACGGTGAATCCAGGAGAATTCCCAATCTCCAGGAGTTTTTCTAAACAGCTTGCATATACTGGGAAGAAGGAACCCGAAAAGAGGGATTCCACATTAGATGTGTGGTCAAGTGTTCATCAAGGTTTCCAGAATCTCAGCTATGTTTTGACTGTCTTCTTTTCTCTCTCAGGCAGAATATGAACTTTCCCCGGATGAGAAGCGCAAAGAGATGGGAGAAGGCATTATCCGTCAGTTCTTCAAGCCTGGGGTATGTATTTTGTCTATATGGGATACAGCAGGTGGTGACAAGGCAGGCCTTCTATGAAAGATTCAATTCCAGTAATAGTGGAGATATAGATATTTGGTGAATTTTAACCTGCATTTTAATTATGTGTATCTTGTTATATGCATTTTAATAGTCTTTGGGCGGGTAATGAAATTATTATTATTATTATTATTATTATTATTATTATTATTATTATTATTATTATTATTATTAGAAACGCARCAAGATGAGTCCACTGCAGACAAGATCACTCTGCTGCAGTGGTTCTCAAGCTGTGGGTCCCCAGATGTTTTGGCCTTCAACTCCCAGAAATCCTAACAGCTGGTAAATTGGCTGGGATTTCTGAGAGTTGTAGGCCAAAACACCTGGGGACCCACAGGTTGAGAACCACTACTCTGCTGGTTGTTGTAWTGGATCATACGTCGGACRCTTCCCAAGTGTGTAGGACTGTGATGTATCAGTGAATAATGCGTGCAGATCCCAGTAAGGTGGCTTTCTGCAACTGGCAGATGGTAACTTTGTCAGCGCCRATTGTGTTTARGTGCAGGCCAAGGTCTTTAGGCACTGCACCCAGTGTGTCGATCACCACTGGGACCACCTTTATTGGCTTATGCTAGAGACTTTGCAGTTCAATCTTTAAATCCTCATATTGTGTCAGCTTTTCTGGTTGTTTCTCTTCAATCCTGCTGCCACCTGGGATTGCAACATCGACAATCCATACTTTGTTTTTTAACGTGATTGTGAGATCAGGAGTATTGTGTTCCAAAACTCTGTCTGTCTGAATCTGGAAGTTCCAGAGTAGCTTGATGTGTTCATTCTCTGTAACTTTTTCTGGCTTGTGATCCCACCAGTTCTTTATCGCAGGCAGATGGAATTTGTGGCACAAGTTCCAATGAATCACCTGAGCAACAGTGTTGTGCCTCTGTTTGTAGTCTGTCTGTGCAATCTTCTTGCAGCAGCTGAGGATGTGATCTATTATTTTATCTGCTTCCTTGCAGATTATTATTATTATTATTATTATTATTATTATTATTATTATTATTACAGTGTACACATATATGGCAAACATTCAATGCCAATTTTGACATACAACATATACAGACAGACAGAGGCTATTTAACTTTTTTCTGGCCGCCAGGGGAGCTGTCGCTTTCATTGTCCATCTGCGACACTGATGAAGTATTTCCGCATTCCCCACATGCTTTTGCTGAAGTCTTTATGGCCTCATAAATTTAATTTAGCCTCCCCACACTTTAAGGTGGTACCTTATTTTCCTACTTGACAGATGCAACTGTCTTTCGGGTTGCAAAGGTCGACAACGGGCTACACAATTGGTTGGAAACCCACTCCAACCCGGGCTAGCTTCGAACTCATGATCTTTTGGTCAGAGTGATCTTAATGCAGCTGACACTCAGCCAGCTGCGCCACAATCCCGGTGCCAAAGGTGTCTCAAAGGAGTCTCAAAGGAGATAAAAATCATCAGCATACAGCATATTATTACCCATTTATCACACTTGCAACATTGGTGCATTTGACTCAATGGCATGAAATTTTGGGAATGCCTGAGCACACTTTTGCAGAAAAGGCTAAAAACCTTGTAAAACGACAACTACCATGATTCCATGACATTGAAGCATTGCAGTTAAAGTGGCATCAACCTGGAGTAATTCTGCACCATTAATTTAGTCTACTGATGCTGAGCCAAAATTAGCAAACATAGGGAATGTTCCAGATTTCGGTGTTTTATGCTGGGGTTTAGACTGAAATTCCTCACTCACATTGGTCTTGATGCACTGTGGGTTGTGACGATTGCCTCTTGTGTTGTTTTCTTGTTTAGTCCTTGGGCTACATGGCAGAGATCAGCCAATCCCTCATGACTTCCTGCATGGAGAACCTACAGAGAAGCCCTTGCAAAGACCTCTTCAGCAGTTGCGTGCAGTGAGTGTTGGGCCCTCTGGGCAGGGGAAAGAAGGGAGGATGAATCAGGGTGGCCATGCATGTTTACATTTAGATATACTGTATATCCTCCTGTGCCATGGAGGTGAGAGTAGAGCAGAGGTTCTCAACCTTCCTAATGCCGCGGCCCCTTAATACACTTCCTCATGTTGTGGTGACCCCCCAACTATAAAATTATTTTCTTTACTACTTTATATCTGTAATTGTGTAACTGTTATGAATCGTAATGTAAATATCTGATATGCAGGATGTATTTTCATTCATTAGACCAAATTTGGCACAAATACCCAATATGCTCAAATTTAAATACTGGTGTGGTGGGGGAGGGGGGCAATTGATTTTGTCATTTGGGAGTTATAGTTGCTGGGATTTACAGTTCATCTACAATCAAAGAGCATTATGAACTCCACCAATGATGGAATTGAACCAAACTTAGCACACAAAACTCCCATGACCAAAAGAAAACACTGGAAGGCTCTTGTGGGAATTGACCTTGAGTTTGGGAGTTGTCGTTCGCCTACATTCAGAGAGCACTGTGGACTCAAACGATGATGGATCTGGACCAGTCTTGGCACAAATACTCGATATGCCCAAATGTGAACACTGGTGGAGTTTGGGGACAATAGACCTTGATGTTTGGGAGTAGTAGTTGTAATTCACCTACAATCAAAGAGATAGAATTGGGTGAAACTTCCCACACAGAATCCCCAAGACCAAGAGAAAAAACAGGGTTTTCTGATGGTCTTTGGTGACCGCTCTGTCACCCCCTCATGACCCCCCAGGGGTCCCGACCCCCCAAATTGAGAAACACTGTAGAGGAAGTCAGTGCTTCTTCCCTTATACCACTCTATTCAGAGATGGTTCCTTAGGAATTGTACTTAGAGCAGGGATGCACAATTTGTGATTCTCCAAATGTTGTTGGATTCTAACTCCCAGCATTCCTCATTGTCATCTATAGGAGTTGCAGCCTAACAATCTTTGGAGATCACACCTCACCTAGTTTTATGCATGTAGAACAGTGTTTCTCAACCTTGGGGTCGGGACCCCTGGGGGGGTGTCACGAGGGGGTGTGAGAGGAGTCACCAAAGACCATCAGAAAACACAGTATTTTCTGTTGGTCATGGGGGTTCCGTGTAGGAAGTTTGGTTCAATTCTATCATTGGTGGGGTTCAAGGTGAACAGTAGGTGCAACTATAAACTTAAGCAACTACAACTCCGAAATGTCAAGGTCTATTTTCCCCAAACACCACCAGTGTACACATTTGGGCATATTGAGTAGTCGTGCCAAGTTTGGTCCAGATCCATCCTTGTTTGAGTCCACAGTGCTCTCTGGATGTAGGTGAACTACAGCTCCCAAACTCAAGGTCAATGCCCACCAAACCCTTCCAGTATTTTCTGTTGGTCATGGGAGTTCCGTGTGCCAAATTTGGTTCAATTCCATGTGGTGGAGTTCAAAATGCTCTTTGATTGTAGATGAACTATAAATCCCAGCAACTACATCTCCCAATTGACAAAATCAACCCCCTGCTCAACCCCACTAGTATTCAAATTTGGGTGTATTGGGTATTTGTGCCAAATTTGGTCCAGTGAATGGAAATACATCCTGCATATTGGATATTTACATGGCAATTCATAACAGTAGCAAAATTACAGTTGTGAAGCAACAACAAAAATAATGTTATGGTTGGGGGTCACCACAATACAAGGAACTGTGTTAAGGGGTCGCGGCATTAGGAAGATTGAGAACCACTGGTTTAGGGCTTTAAAACCAGCACTTCGAATTGTGCTCGAAAGCTGATCAGCAACCAGTGGAGCTGGCGTAACAGAGGGGTTGTATGCTCCCTGTACACCGCTCCGGTGAGTAACCTGGCTGCCTACCGTTGGACTAGTTGAAGCTTCCAGGCAGTCTTCAAAGGCAGCCCCACGTAGAGTGTGTTGCAGTAGTCTATTCGGGATGTAACAAGAGCATGGACCACTGTGGCCAAGTCAGACTTCTCAAGGAATGGGCGCAACTGGTGCACAAGTTTTAATTGTGCAAAAGCTCTCCCGGCCACTGCCAAGACCTGGGGTTCCAGGCTCAGCGATGAATCCAGGATCGCTCCCAAGCTGCGAACCTGCGTCTTCAGGGGAAGTGTAACCCCGTCCAACACAGGCTGTAATCAGAGGCGGCCCTAGGTAATTTTCAACGGTAAGCAAACAGTATTTTTTGGCGCCCCCCCCCCCAACCAAAATATATATATTCTGTTCGTCGTGGGAGTTCTGTGTGCCATATTTGGTTCAATTCCATCATTGGTGGAGTTCAGAATGCTCTTTGATTGTAGGTGAACTATACATCCCAGTAACTACACTTGCCGCACTTGCTCCCTTGCCTGGCCGCTTTGGGTCCGGAGGCGTGCCTGAAGACCCCGGCATGTGCACCAAAAGTCACCTCTTCTCCTGACTTTCTCCTCAGCCATTGGGACCAGAGAGAGAGAGAGAGAGAGAGGTGGAGATGCCCACCTTTCCTGAAGGTAGGCGCAAAAACAAAGGAGGGAGCGGAGGTGGGAGATACCTCCAGCCGGAGGGGTTCTGGCTCTCTCTCTCTCTCTCTCTTCGTCCCAATGGCTGAAGAGAAAGTCAGGAGAAGAGGCGACTTTTGGTGCGCACGCTGGGGTCTTCAGACACGCCTCCGGACCCGAAGCGGGCCAGCGCGGCGGCTCCGCCCCTTGGCCCACCCGCGGATTGGGGAGAGGAGAGGAGGCGGGTGGAGCGCCGGGGGATCGGGAAAGGGAGCCGGTCATGGGGAAGGGATCGAACGCGGAGAAGAATTTGAGCGTCGGCTCTGCTTGCACACCCGGTGGCTGGGTGGAGCAGGAACGAGAGGGGCTAGGCGAGGCTCAAGGGCCCGGCCCCTTTGGGAAGAGGATCGCCCGGCAGCGAGGCAAGAAAGCCGAGGCTCCCCCCGGACTGCTAGGGCTGTTGTGAGCTGAGGGGGGCGCTCCTCAAGTGGAGGTCGAGGGGCATTTACAGAGGCGCCTCTGCGCCCCTGGCAAAAAAAAGTGTTCTGCGACCACTTACTTCGCGTAATGGACGAGCCGCCCCTGGCTGTAATCCTATGCCCTGTTTGGCCTTTCGACTGACCAGGAGTCCTCTTGTCTTGGGGGGGGGGGTGGGGGGGGGGGTTTTCCCCCCCCCCCCCACCCCCGGGGTTTTTTTTTTTGTGTTTGGCCTTTCGACTGACCAGGAGTACCTCTGTCTTGTCTGGATTCAGTTTCAAATTGTTCGCCTTTATCCAGACCGATACAGCAGCCAAGCACCGGTTTAGGACCTGCACAGCCTCCTTAGTGACAGTTGGGAAGGAGTCATAGAGCTGGACATCATCCATGTACACTTATGCACAAGTACTTTCTATCGAGCAATTGGGGCACAATGCAGGGTATCTCTCCATTAGGCCTATCTTAATTGCTACCTCTTTCATAGGCGCTTGCATGAATACCTGAGCGGAGCCCCATTCACGAACTATCAAGACAGCATGTATTTTGACAGATTCCTTCAGTGGAAATGTCTGGAAAGGTAAGGCAATGTTTGGATGAGTACACTGATATAACCAAGAATGGTTTTTGAATACACCATTTTTGAGCTCCTTTTTGTCTTTGTAGACAATCAGTGACCAAAGACACCTTCAGGCAATACCGCATTCTTGGCAAAGGAGGTTTCGGAGAGGTAAGTTGCTTCTGCGAGTTGGGAGCACTCCTAGACTGTCGAAATCTCAAATATTCATTGAATATACTTGTTAAATGTATTGTCAAAGGCTTTCATGGCCGGAATCACTGGGTTGTTGTAGGTTTTTTGGGCTATATGGCCATGTTCCAGAAGCATTCTCTCCTGACGTTTCACCTTCATCTATGGCGAGCATCCTCAGGGCTTGTGAGGTCTGTTGGAACTAGGAAACTGGGTTTATATATCTGTGGAATAATTACCAGGGTGGGACAAAGAACTCTTGTCTGTTGGAGGTAGGTGTGGATATTTCAACTGACCACCTTGGTTAGCATTTGATGGCCTGGCAGTGCCTGGGGCAATCTTTTGTTGATAGGTGATTAGATGTGCCTGATTGTTTCCCCTCTCGCTACCATCACCCCAGCCCCCGGTGGCATAGTGGGTTAAACCCCTGTGCTGGCAGGACTGAAGACCGATGGCCTAGCAGTTGTTTGGTGTGGCTTGTTAGTGTCTGGGGCAATCTTTTGTGGCAGGCATCCTCAGAGGTTGTGAGGTCTGTTGAAAACAAGGAAAATTAGCTTTCCACAGATATAGAAATCCAATTTTCCTAGTTTCCAACAGATCTCACAACCTCTGAGGATGCTTGCCATAGATGCAGATGAAACGTCAGGAGAGAATGCTTCTAGAACATGGCCATATAGCCTGGAAAACCTACAACAGCCCATATATTTGTTATATAACCACCCCGAGTCCCTCCGCAAGAGAGAGGGCAAGTATAAATACGTTGTTGTTGTTGTTGTTGTTGTTGTTGTTTTGTCAAAGGCTTTAATGGTTGGAATCACTGTTTTCCTGTGAGTTTTCCAGGCCGTCTGGCCATGTTCTAGAAGCATTCTCTCCTGATGTTTCACCCTCATCTATGGGAGCCCCCGGTGGCACAGTGGGTTAAACCCCTGTGCCGGGTGAAGACCAACAGGTCGCAAGTTCAAATCCGGGGAGAAGCGGATGAGCTCCCTCTATCAGCTCCAGCTCCTCATGCGGGGACATGAGAGAAGCTTCCCACAAGGATGATAAAAACATCAAATCATCTGGGCGTCCCCTGGGCAACGTCCTTGCAGACGGCCAATTCTCTCACACCAGAAGCGACTTGCAGTTTCTCAAGTCACTCCTGACACGACAAAACAGAAAACAAAAACCCTCATCTATGGCAAACATCCTCAAAGGCTGTGAGACCTCCCAACTTCTGAGGTTGTAAGACGTCCCAGCCTCTGAGGATGCCTGCCATAGATGAGGGTGAAACGTAAGGAGAGAGTGCTTCTGGCACATGGCCATACAGCTCAGAAAACTCACAACAACCCATTATTATTGTTAAGTTGTAATATTGGTGGTGTTAACACATGTCAAATAGTTGTTACCAACAGTGACCTTTGGAGGGTCCTTAGCTGAGACCACATGTTGAAAGAGAGGTTCCATGTTGTGGAAGCTACTTAGATTATTAGCGATACTCCAAATTGTGCCCTGGATCCTTCAGATAGGTCTGGAGAACATTGGGAAACATGGTGGCCTGGACAATATTTATGTCTGTTTGTGTGGCCAGGGATGCTTTTGATTTGTTTCTTCCAAAACGAAGGAGGTGTTATGAACCTGCAACTGGACTATTGGTCCCCTCCAGTTTCTTTGGGGCAACAGTGTCATAGAATCATAGAATCAAAGAGTTAAAAGAGACCCCATGGGCCATCCAGTCCAACCCCCTGCCAAGAAGCAGGAATATTGCATTCAAAGCACCCCTGACAGATGGCCATCCAGCCTCTGTTGAAAAGCTTCCAAAGAAGGAGCCTCCACCACACTCCGGGGCAGAGAGTTCCACTGCTGAACGGCTCTCACAGTCAGGAAGTTCTTCCTCATGTTCAGATGGAATCTCCTTTCTTGTAGTTTGAAGCCATTGTTCCATTGCGTCCTAGTCTCCAAGGAAGCAGAAAACAAGCTTGCTTCCTCCTCCCTGTGGCTTCCTCTCACGTATTTATACATGGCTATCATATCTCCTCTCAGCCTTCTCTTCTTCAGGCTAAACATGCCCAGCTCCTTAAGCCGCTCCTCATAGGGCTTGTTCTCCAGACCCTTGATCATTTTAGTCGCCCTAGTTCTTATAGTGCCGAGGTTAATTAAATATATTTTTCTGTGTCTGAGCAGATGGTGATTACTGGATAATATATGTTCTGTATCAGAAACTAGAGCTGATGTGGTCTATCCAGTGTCATCCAATCAGCACCCCAAATAACCAAACTGAATCTAAAGTTGACCAAAAACTTGATTTGTAACCCTTTTTGGTACTAATGTTGGAGAGTGGTCCCTGGTCAAAAAAAAAGGTTGGGAACCACTGATTTAGCCACCCCGAGTCCCTGAGGGGAGATGGTGGCGAGGTATAAATAAAGCTAAATATATATTTATTTTGGTCGTGTCAGGAGCGACTTAAAAAACTGCAAGTCGCTTCTGGTGTGAGAAAATTGGCTGTCTGCAAGGACATTGCCCAGAGGATGCCCGGATGTATACGTGACTTTTTTTCCGTGTCAGGAGCAACTTGAGAAACTGCAAGTCGCTTCTGGTGTGAGAGAATTGGCCGTCTGCAAGGACATTGCCCAGGGGATGCCCAGATGTATACGTGACTTTTTTTCCGTGTCAGGAGCAACTTGAGAAACTGCAAGTCGCTTCTAGTGTGAGAGAATTGGCTGTCTGCAAGGACGTTGTCCAGGGGACGCCTGGATGTATACGTGATTTTTTTTTCCGTGTCAGGAGTGACTTGAGAAACTGCAAGTCACTTCTGGAGTGAGAGAATTGGCCGTCTGCAAGGACGTTGCCCAGTGTACGCCCGGATGTATACGTGATTTTTTTTCCATGTCAGAAGTGACTTGAGAAACTGCAAATCACTTCTAGTGTGAGAGAATTGGCTGTCTGCAAGGACGTTGCCCATGGGACGCCCGGATATATACATGATTTTTTTTTCCGTGTCAGGAGTGACTTGAGAAACTGCAAGTCGCTTCTGGTGTGAGAGAATTGGCCGTCTGCAAGGACGTTGCCCATGGGACGCCCAGATGTTTTATCATCCTTGTGGGAGGCTTCTTTCGTATCCCCGCATGAGGAGCTGGAGCTGATAGAGGGAGCTCATCCACACTCTCCTGTCGGTCTTCAGTCCTGCCGGCACAGGGGTTTAATAATAATAATAATAATAATAATAATAATAATAATAATAGATTATCTCCAAGGGATTTTGGTTCTGGACATGGCCTACCTTTTCTTTATTGGGGCTGCAAACCCACTCAGAATAAACCCAACATCATTTCTTAGGACCTGCCAGCAATACCTCTAAAAATAATCTGTGTTGTATTTCAGTTTATTGATCCGCCGTCCATTGCATTGCTGATCCCAACCACTGATTCAGCACTTCTATGGTGTCCTTGGTATTAATTGTAAATAGGGAAACAACCAAATGTTTTTAGTATACAGGAACCACTTGTGATATTGGTTACAAAAGCAACAGTGACAAAAGAAACATACACAAACCCCGGGCGCCATGTGTGTCCCACTGATTTGAAAGTGGTCTCCTAGCGCCACCTTCTGGCATCCTGTTTCATAGAATCATAGAATCAAAGAGTTGGAAGAGACCTCATGGGCCATCCAGTCCAACCCCATTCTGCCAAGAAGCAGGAATATTGCATTCAAATCACCCCTGACAGATGGCCATCCAGCCTCTGTTTAAAAGCTTCCAAAGAAGGAGCCTCCACCACACTCCGGGCAGAGAGTTCCACTGCTGAACGGCTCTCACAGTCAGGAAGTTCTTCCTCGTGTTCAGATGGAATCTCCTCTCTTGTAGTTTGAAGCCATTGTTCCGTCCTAGTCTCCAGGGAAGCAGAAAACAAGCTTGCTCCCTCCTCCCTGTGGCTTCCTCTCACATATTTATACATGGCTATCATATCTCCTCTCAGCCTTCTCTTCTTCAGGCTAAACATGCCCAGCTCCTTAAGCCGCTCCTCATAGGGCTTGTTCTCCAGACCCTTGATCATTTTAGTCACCCTCCTCTGGACCCATTCCAGCTTGTCAATATCTCTCTTGAATTGGGGTGCCCAGAATTGGACACAATATTCCAGGTGTGGTCTAACCAAAGCAGAATAGAGGGGTAGCATGACTTCCCTAGATCTAGACACTATGCTCCTATTGATGCAGGCCAAAATCCCATTGGCTTTTTTTGCCGCCACATCACATTGTTGGCTCATGTTTAACTTGTTGTCCACGAGGACTCCAAGATCTTTTTCACACGTACTGCTCTCGAGCCAGGCATTGCCCTCCATTCTGTATCTTTGCATTTTGCTTTTCCTGCCAAAGTGGAGTCTCTTGCATTTGTCACTGCTGAACTTCATTTTGTTAGTTTTGGCCATTCATCTCTCGAATCTGTCAAGATCGTTTTGAATTCTGCTCCTGTCCTCTGGAGTATTGGCTATCCCTCCCAATTTGGTGTCGTTTCAGAGGCCGAATGAAATGTGTTCATGAGACACTAGCAAAAAAGGCTAAAGATCTCGTAAAACTACAGCTCCCATTATTCCATAGCATTGAAGCATAGCAGTTAAAATTGTATCAGACTACATTAATTCGACAATATTAAAAGGTAAAGGTTTTCCCTTGACGTTAAGTCCAGTCATGTCTGACTCTGGGGTGTGGTGCTCATCTCCGAAGAGCCGGTGTTGTCTGTAGACACCTCCAAGGTCATGTGGCCGGCATGACTGCATGGAGCGTCATTACCTTCAAAGGTCTCTTCCTACTCTAGAATTCTATAATTCTATTATTATTGTTGTTAAGCAAAGGTTGGATGACCATCTCTCGGGGGTGCTTTGATTGTGTTCTTTTTGCATGTCAAGGGGTTGGACTAGGTAACCCATGCAGTCTCTTCCAATTCTATTATTATTATTAAAGGTAAAGATTTTCCCTTGACATTCAGTTGTGTCCGACTCGGAAGGGGTTGGTGCTCATCTCCATTTCTAAGCTGAAGAGCCGGCGTTGTCTGTAGACACCTCCAAGGTCATGTGGCTGGCATGACTGCATGGAGCGCCATTACCTTCAAAGAATTCTATAATTCTATTATCATTGTTGTTAAACAAATGCTGAATGGCCATCTGTCAGGGGTGGTTTGATTGTGTTCTTCTTGCATGCCAAGGGGTTGGACTAATTGTCCATAATAATAATAATAATAATAATAATAATAATAATAATAATAATAGTCGGCGTTGTCCATAGACACCTCCAAGGTCATGTGGCTGGCATGACTGCATGGAGGACCATGACCTTCTCGCCAGAGATCTACTCACATTTTCATGCTTTCGAACTGCTAGGTTGGCAGAAGCTGGGGCCGTCAGCAGGAGCTCACCCCGCTCCCCAGATTCGAACCTGCGACCTATCAGTCAACAAGTTTAGCAGCTCAGTGGTTTAACCCACTGTGCCACCAGGAGCTCCTCTACAATATTATACAATATTTTCAAAAATTCTATCTATTCCTTTATTCCTTTTTGTTAATGGTTCTGCTTTGTTATGAGTTATTTATTTTGCATTGTATTGTTGTTGTTGTGTTTTTGCTAATGATGTACCTTGGGCTCGGCCTCTTGCAAGCCGCACCGAGTCCTGCGGGAGATGGTAGTGAGGTACAAATAAAGGATTATTATTATTATTATTATTATTATTATTATTATTATTATGGTGCTCTCAGATAGTGAGATTGTAGCCACCTCTTGTCTCTAGGTTTGCGCATGCCAGGTGCGAGCCACAGGGAAGATGTATGCCTGCAAGAAACTGGAGAAGAAGCGCATCAAGAAGCGGAAAGGGGAGGCCATGGCACTGAATGAGAAGCAGATCCTGGAGAAAGTCAACAGCCGATTCGTGGTATGCCTAAGAGCGCAGATCTGGTTTGTTGATGATGGCATTGCTTGGCATCTATCCAAGACTGAATGCTCCATCAGGTGCCCTTTCCATTATGCACATGCTACCAACAATGGCACATGTATAGTTTGTCAGGAATACAGGAAGAATTGGATGTTGACATTTTCTTCCCAGTGATCTATTCATATCAGAGCTTGGAAAAATTACCTTTTTGAACTATATGTCAGAATCATGCAGTCAGTATGACCAATAACAATGATGGCTGGGGGGGTTGGGGAAGCGTAGTCCCAAAATGGAATATTTCCAGAATTCCTGCAGAACTGTTCCTAATTAAATTTACAACATTTATATGCCGCCCTTCTCACACCAAAGGGGACTCAGAGATATATATACAATATACACATACACACACACACACACACACACACATCTATATAAATAAAAATGTAATGTTTGTTTGTGGGGTTAACATAACTCAAAAACCACTAGATGAATTGACACCACATTTTTACACAATACACCTATCAGGCCAACGAGTGACCATCACTCGTAAAAACACTGAAAAACACAGCAGAAGATACTTAAAAAACCAAAATAATAATAATAAAAAATTACATTACAACGCATGCACAAAACCACATATATACACATATACACACATATATGTACACACACAAAACAGATATACACAAACTGGGCCACAGCAACACATGGCAGGGGATGGCTAGTGCAATGTATTTTATTATTAGCATAGCACAATATTGTATATTACTATATAGTACTATACCAGTCCTTGAAGTGACTGGATTAACCTTGAAGGAGCTGGGGGTGGTGACGGTCGACAGGGAGCTCTGGTGTGGGCTGGTCCATAAGGTCATGAAGAGTCGGAAACGACTGAACGAATGAACAACAAAGTATACCATTATATTGTAATACTATTAGTAATATTACATGTAATATAAAATATATAAGTATATCATATTATTTATTATTATTATTATTATTATTATTATTATTATTATTATTTGTCGTGTCAGGAGTGACTCCTGGTGTGAGAGAATTGGCCGTCTGCAAGGACGTTGCCCAGGGGACACCTGGATGATTTGATGTTTTTATCATCCTTGTGGGAGGCTTCTCTCATGTCCCCGCATGAGGAGCTGGAGCTGATAGAGGGAGCTCATCCGCCTCTCCCCGGATTCGAACCTGCGACCTGTCGGTCTTCAGTCCTGCCGGCACAGGGGTTTAACCCACTGCGCCACCGGGCGCTCCATATTATTATTATTATTATTATTATTATTATATTGTATTACATTATAATATTATAAATATTATATGTATATACAATATATTATATTGTTAACTTCCCTAACCAGGCCTCAGCCAAACGTCCACACATCTGAATTGGTGATATATTCCAAAATATCTAATCTTCTGGGTTGTTGTAGGTTTTTTCGGGCTATATGGCCATGTTCTAGAGACATTTTCTCCTGACATTCTCTCCTCACTACCTCTGAGGATGCTTGCCATAGATTGAGGCGAAACGTCAGGAGAGAATGCCTCTAGAACATGAACATATAGTCCGAAAAAACCTACAACACCCCAGTGATTCCGGCCATGAAAAGCCTTCGATAATATATAATCTTCTTTTGCATGCTCATAGGTCAGCTTGGCTTATGCCTATGAGACGAAGGATGCTCTCTGTCTGGTCCTCACCATCATGAACGGAGGTGACTTGAAGTTCCACATTTACAACATGGGCAACTCCGGCTTTGACAACGAACGGGTCACCTTTTATGCTGCAGAGATCTGCTGTGGGCTGGAGCATTTGCACCGGGAGGGCATTGTGTACAGGTGAGAAAGAGGTGGGCATAGTTTCCAGTGTCTCCCAGAAAGCACGAACGAGAAGAGTGAAAGATGGTGGGGATGGGAGCCTTCCTTTAGTTTTGAAGAGTTGAGAGTCTGTGGAGTTGAGGGATCATTACTATTGGTTGGTTGGCCTAGTTGGATCTTCTTTTAAGTCACAATTCTTGGTGTGCATGTTAAGGATGCTTTCTATTGTCCTTTTCAACCCCTTTCTCACCTGCTTCTCATTCTGGCTTGTGACTTATCTCTCCCCGCAGGGACTTGAAGCCTGAGAACATTCTTCTGGATGATGATGGTAGGTACTGGGTGCTGAACATGTTTTACAGTGTTTGAGACCCGCCTACTTTCGTGACCGTATCTCCTCCATGAACCTGCCTGATCTCTCTGATCTTCGGGGGAGGCTCTTCTTTCGCCCCTGCCACTATCACAAGCCCGTCTTGTGGGAACAAGGGAGAGAGCCTTTTCCTCTGTGGCCCCCCAACTCTGAAAATCATTGCCAGTGAAATTAGGCGAGTCCCCACCTTAGAAAGCTTCAAGAAGGATCTCAAAACCTGGCTTTTCCATTGCACTTTTGGAGAGTAACCCATACAACCATATATTAGGTTCTTGTGGGTTTTTTCGGGCTATAGGGCCATGTTCTAGAGGCATTTCTCCTGACGTTTCGCCTGAATCTATGGCAAGCATCCTCAGAGGTAGTGAGGTCGTGACACATGCAGCCCGCTCACTATCATTATGATTGTGAAGGATTTTTTATTGTATCTTTACATAGCTTACTGTATTCTTATATTTATATATTTATTATGCTGTTGTTTTGTGTTTTGGTTTTATTTTATTGTAATGCGTTGTTGGGCTTGGCCTCATGTAAGCCGCCCCGAGTCCCCGTTGGGGAGATGGGGGCGGGGTATAAATAAAGATTATTATTATTATTATTATTATTATTATTATTATTTGCAACACAACAAGATGAGTCCACAGCAGACACTCTATTGGCTGTTGTTTTGGATCACGCGTTGGACACTTCCCAAGTATCTAGGACTGCATGATGTATCAGTAAATAATGCGTGCATATCCCAGTAAGGTGGCCTTTTGCAGCTGGCAGATGGTAATCTTGTCAGCGCCGATTGTGTTTAAGTGCAGGCCAAGGTCTTTAGGCACTGCACCCAGTGTGCCGATCACCACTGGGACCACCTTTACTGGCTTGTCCCAGAGTCTTTGCAGTTCGATCTTTAAATCTTCATATTGTGTCAGCTTTTCCAGTTGTTTCTCTTCAATCCTGCTGTCACTTGGGACTGCGACATCGATGATCCACACTGTTTTTTAACACGATTGTGAGCTCAGTAGTATTATGCTCCAAAACTCTGTCTGTCTGAATCCGGAAGTCCCAGAGGGGTTTGGCGTGTTCATTCTTTGTAACCTTTTTCCAGCTTGTGATCCCACCAGTCCTTTGTGGCAGGCAGATGGTATTTGTGGCACAAGTTCCGATGAATCATCTGAGCAACGGTGTTATGCCTCTGCTTGTAGTCTGTCTGCACAATCTTCTTGCAGCAGCTCATGATGTGATCTATTGTTTCGTCTGCTTCCTTGCACAGTCTACATTTGGGATCTGTTGTCGACTTTTCAATTCTGGCTTTGATGGCATTATTATTATTATTATTATTATTATTATTATTATTATTATTATTATAGTTTATGTTGGTGATCTCCCAACAGACAATGTGTCCCTCCTTTCTCCAGAGTGCCACCTGCCACTCGGCCAAAGCATAGCCTTGATCACTGTTTCCTCTCCGTTCGTACCCCTAGGTCACATCCGAATCTCAGATTTGGGGCTGGCCATCAAGATTGCAGAAGGGGACACCATCCGTGGGCGTGTCGGAACAGTAGGCTATATGGGTATGTATTGAAGGATCATTCAAAATCCAAGTATCTGCTGACTCTGGGAAGTCCGGTTGGAGTAGCTTCACAACATTGTTGTTCCAAAAGTGCGGGGGGGGGGGGGGGGGGGGGATAAGAGGATTTTGGTTGCGGTATCATCCCTATATTGTGTTTGCTTTGATTTTGCATTTTGTATTTAGCTCACCCAAAAGTTGCAGTAATACTGAGCAGCTCAGGCAGATGAACCCTGCAATCTAGTCATCAGCAGACACCTCATTCTTGGATTTATAGAGCTTTTTGGAACAGTGCAAATATGTCAAATTTAATACAGGTTGTCCATCCTTTATCCGGAAATCCAAAATACTCCAAAAATGCCCACAAGGATCATTGAGATAGTAGGAGCCCCCGGTGGTGCATTGGTCAAAATCCTTGTGCCAGCAGGACTGCTGGCCAAAAGGTCAGCAATTTGAATCCAGAGAGCAGGGTAACTTTGGTTCATACACAAAATGATTTAAAATATCGTGTATGGAGAGACTTTCAGGCTATGTGTATAAGGTGTATATGAAACATAAATGAATTCCATGTTTAGACCTGAGTTCCATCTTGAAGACATCTCATTGTGTATCTCATCCACATAGAGGTGTTCCAAAATCATTTAAAAATCCAAAATATTTCTAACCCCAAGCATTTTGGATAAAGGATATCCAACTAAACATAATTCTGACTGTTTTGAATTGTGGTAGTTGAAGTCCAAGACACCTGGAGGGCCTAAGTTTGCCCATGCCTGTCCTAGAACCTTGAAAAAGGTACATTTCACATCCAGACTTTAATGTCCACTGCTCCCCATTTCAACCCCACTCTGATAGCTATCATCTTTCCTTCTTCTCCAGCTCCGGAGGTGATTAACAACGAGCGATACTCCTTCAGCCCCGACTGGTGGGGACTGGGCTGCCTCATCTACGAGATGATTGAGGGCCAGTCCCCTTTCCGAGCCCGGAAGGAGCGGGTGAAGAGGGAGGAAGTGGAGAAGCGCGTTCAGGAGGAGCAGGAACAATATTCAGACAAGTTCTCAGAAGACACCAAGGCCATCTGCAAGGCGGTGAGTGGAGAATCTGTGCTGGGATTTGGTGCTATCATGAAGTTCTTCTTAGAGTGGATGGCAATGACTTTATATATATATAAACTTATCCTTTATTTATTTTTTTCTCCTTATTCATTCCCTACCCCACCCTCCTTTTCCTTTCCAACGTTCCTTGCACAAATTGTTCTCACACTTTTGTTGTAAATCTATTTTGATTTTAAAAATCTTTCTCATGCTCCAATCTATTGGAGACAACTTATTCTCAATAAAAATAATTTTGGAAACTAGGCAAGTGAGGTTTATGTATCGGTTGAAGGTCCAGAGTTGGAGAAAGTGACAATGTAGATCTCAGCACAGCAAGGCAAAGAAACACATCTTCTTAGTCTAAAAGCTAATTTATTTAATATAATTTACACTAGAAGCAGAACAAAAAGAACTCTTGTCTGTTTGAGGCAAGTGTGAATGAGGCAACTGACCACCTTGATTAGCATTGAATGGCCTTGCAGCTTCAAAGCCTGGCTGGTTGCTGCCTGGGGGGAATCCTTTGTTGGAAGATGTTAGCTGGCTCTGATAGTTTTTTTCTGGAATTTATTTATTTATTGCTCTTTATTTACTGCCCTGATTTTAGAGTTTTTTTTATACTGGTAGCCAGAGTTTTTTCATTTTCATGGTTTCCTCCTTCTCTGCGTAGTCTGATATAGTAGTTGTTAGTGTGGTTCTCATTTCTGTGTTCTCAAATAGTATGCTGTGTTCAGGTTGGTTCATCAGGTGTTCTGCTATGGCTGACATCTTTGGTTGCGTTAGTCTGCAGTGCCTTTCATGTTTCTTGATTTGTATTTGGGCATTGCTACATTTGGTGGTCCCTATGTAGACTATGTGTGAATATTGACCACATAATAATATAATTTTTTTTTATTGTCGTGTCAGGAGCAACCTGGCTTTTTAAGTGTTTTCTGCTGTATTTTTCAGTGTTTTTTATGAATGATGGTCATTTGTTGGCCTTTTTTTTTTTTTGTCGTGTCAGGGGCGACTTCAGAAACTGCAAGTCGCTTCTGGTGTGAGAGAATTGGCCGTCTGCAAGGACGTTGCCCAGGGGATGCCCAGATATTTTGATGTTTTTATCATCCTTGTGGGGGCTCCAATAATATAATATAAAATAATATAATATAAAATAATACAATATATAATATAATTAATATAATTAATACAATTAATATAATTAATAATATAATATAAAAATTTATTTATATATCGCGCTATCTCCCCAAGGGGACTCAGAGCAGTGTCCAAGTAACATCATCAATAGATACAGAGTCAACAACATAAACATAAGATTAACGAAACAATATAAGCATAAAAATGGTCACCATAACATATATATATTAAAAGTAATCCTGTCTATTCAAGGCAATTTAAAAGGCTGGGCCGAGATTAGTGCAAGCTCAAAAATTCTAGGGGGCCGGGAATTAAGTGCAGTGCTATAGCAGGCAACAACAATAATAGGTACGGGTCTGTGGCTGTTCATTTCCAAGGCTTATTAGAGGAAGTGACCTGGGTAATTGGTAGGAACAATAAGGCTATATTCAGCAATATCTAGGGCTGAGCTAGAACTAGTTGTTCTCAAAGGCTTGTTGAAGCCACCAGGTCTTCAAACTCTTACAAAAGGAGGGGAGGGATGGGGCCTGTCTAATTTCCCTGGGGAGGAAATTTCAGAAACGGGGGGCCACCACTGAGAAGGCCCTCTCTCTCATCCCCACCAACCGTGGTTATGACGGTGGTGGGAGCAAGAGAAGGGCCTCTTTGGAAGATCTTAGAGTTTGTGCCTGTTCATAGAAGGAGATGCGATTGCAGAGATAGGCGGGGCCCGAACCTCTTAGGGCTTTATAGGTCATGACCCGCACCTTGAATTTGGCTCGGCAACTTATAGGCAGCCAATGAATCAGTTTTAATAGGGGTGTTGTATGCTCCCTATAGTTTGCTCTAGTAAGGAGCCTGGCTGCTGCCCATTGTACCAGTTGAAACTTCTGGTCCGTCTTCAAGGGCAGCCCCACGTAGAGCGCATTGCAGTAGTCCAGTCTGGATGTAACCAAGGTGTGGAGCACCCTGGCTAAGTCAGACTTCACAAGGTATGGTCTCAGTTGGCGCATGAGTTTGAGTTGTACAAAGGCCCTCCTGGCCACCTCCGACACCTGAGTAACAAACAACAGCGTTGAGTCCAGGAGGACCCCCAAGCTACGGACCTGCGCCTTCAGGGGGAGTGTAACCCCATCGAGCACAGGTTGCCACCCAGTACCCCGGTCGGCCCCACTACTGTGCATGGACCACAGAGCTATGCATCGGGGATGGGGTCCATCATGGAATAGTGAAAGTGTTGCCGATTCCAGACATGAATTGGCACTATCACTGAGTAGTATGAAAGAGCTCCAGATTTTTGCATGCTGAAGGCAAACAAACGGGCTTCTGTCCTCGTAAAGGAGATTTTCCAAAATATATACATTTATTTACTAGCAGTTCTGAAGGTGACATTGTGGTTGTAAGCACCTTGATTAATCCTCGTCTCTTCCTTCTCCCTTCCCAGCTCCTGACCAAAGATCCTAAACAGCGACTGGGAAGCAAAGGAGATGGTGCTGTCCAAGTGAAGCTACACTCGTTCTTCAAGAACATCAACTTCAAGCGTCTGGAAGCTGGCATCATGAAACCTACATTTGTACCTGATGTAGGTTTGGATCAAACAAGAATGAGGCAATTGCTGGTTTGCACTGGCTATACTTATTACAATAACATTCATCACCATTCTTCCTCTATCTCCTGGCACTTACACTAGATTTCCAATATTTCCAAAACTTCCAAAACGCATTCTTTCCTGACCTTGGAGAAAGACGCAAGTGACCAGACTCTGTGTTCCATTGCAGATCTGCCATTATCCCAAGTACACTAACTCTCTCTTCTTTCCATGGGGAAGAGTAGTGAGTGGGACAGATTCCTCCGGTCTACCGCAATTTTGAAATAGTAAAGTGTCTCTTATATAGAAATTTCTTGCTAGTGTTGTTCTGAAAGTTATAAATGACTGACAGACAACTTAAACATCCTGAATCTATCATTTCAACAGATGTTGACTTTCCTTCTCAAGGAGCCTTGCTTGCTTCCTTACCTTAATGTAAAAGAGTTGTTGTCTTTAGTAATGTAAACATGTTGTTTTCCACCACGGGTAATCATTTGTCTCAGGTCATCTCAGCAGTTCAGCAACTTTTAATTCCAGTTCACGAATTCAGCAGTTTTCCAAGCCTTTTAGAATGGCATCTCTAGACTAATATAGACCCCAGCCATACATCTTTCATAGAATTCCATTCAAATCGTACATCATATTACTGACAGACAGCCTAAATATCCTGATTCCATCAGTTCCCGGACAGATGTTGACTTTCCTTCTCAATGAGCCCTGCTTGCTTCCTTACCTTAATTTAAAAGAGTTGTTGTCTTTGGTAATGTAAACATGTTGTTTTCCACTACAGTTAATCATTTGTCTCTGGTCATCTCAGCAGTTCAGCAACTTTTAATTCCGGTTCATGAATTCAGTAGTTTTCCAGGCCTCTTAGAATGGCATCTCTAGACTAATATAGACCCCAGCCATACATCTTACATAGAATTCCTTTCAAATCATACATCATATTACTGACAGACAGCTTAAACACCTTGATTCCATCAGTTCCTGGACTTGCAGTACCATCACTCACTTTCTGAGACCGCTATGACCTTCATCCAATGACTGATCTAGACCAAACTTGGCACATAGACCTCTCATGACCCACTTTATGTCCTGGCGTGGTTTGGCCGGGGATGGCCCATGGATTATAGGACTTGCAGTACCTTTGCTCAATTCCTGAGACCACTGCAAACCTCATCCAATTACCGATAAAGACCAAACTTGCCACACTGAGTCTCCATGACACACTCTACATCCTGGTGCAGTTTGGAGGAGGATGCACCATGGACAGTGGGACTTGCAATACTTGCACTCCCTTCCTGAGACCATTACAACTGCCAACAGTGATGGATCAGGATCACAATTCACACAGAGAGACCACATAACCCACTTTGGTGCAGTTTGGAAGAATTTGACAATGGATGATGGGACTTGCAGTCACTTCACTCACTTCCTGAGACCATTGAGACCCTCGCCAATGACTGATCAAGACCAAACTTGGCAAACAGAGTCCCCATGACCCACTCTACATCCTGGTGCACTTTCGAGGAGGACAGACCATGGATGATGGGACTTCAAGTACCTCCACTCCCTTCCCAAGACTGCTGCAACCCTCACCTAATGTCCGATCAAGACCAAACTTGGCACACAGGGCCCCCATGACCCACTCTCCATTCTGGTGTAATTTGGAGGACGATGGACCACAGATGATGGGACTCGCAGTACTTTCACTAACTTCCTGAGACCACTTCGAGCCATATAAATAACTGATAAAGACCAACCTTGAGACATAATTCCTTTCTCAAATAACCCGGGCAGCGCTGGGTCCCCAAGCTAGTAGCAAATAAAATACAAACAAGCAAAATAAAAAAGGTTTTCATGTTCTGCACAGTATAGTTTTAAATCTCTCCTGTTAACTAGATTGTGCCTTTCTTGGTGTATAGGGGATTCCAAACTTATTTGTTTATTTGTCCCCTAGCCCCGGGCCGTATATTGCAAAGATGTGCTGGACATTGAACAGTTCTCCACTGTGAAGGGTGTCAACTTGGACCAAACTGACAACGACTTCTATGCCAAATTTGCAACAGGCAGTGTTCCCATCCCGTGGCAGAACGAGGTAAGAAACTGGGTGAATACGACTGAAAAAGTGGCAACCAATAAAAGGGAGACCGGGTCTCAAAAGTGCACAGGTATACAGGTGTAATGGAGTAATCAATTAAAACTGCAACACAACACCTGCATTTTGATATCATGCAAACTATTGTTAGTTGCTAAAGATAATAAAGGAGCCCCCGGTGGTGCAGTGGGTTAAAGTGCTGAGATGATGAACTTGCTGACCAAAAGGTTGCAGGTTCGAATCCGGGGAGCAGGGTGAGCTCCCGCTATTAGCCCTAGCTTCTGCCAACTTAGCAGTTCGAAAACATGCAAATGTGAGTAGATCAGTGTTTCTCAACCTGGGGGTCGGGACCTCTGAGGGGGTCGTGACCATCAGATAACACAGTATTTTCTGTTGGTCATGAGGGTTTTGTATGGGAACTTTGGCCCAAATCTATTGTTGATGGGGTTCAGAATTTCCTTTGATTGTAGATGAACTATAAATCCCAGCAACTACAACTCACAAATGTCAAGGTCTGTTTTCCCCAATCTCTAGGTAAAGGTAAAGGTAGTCCCCTGACATTAAGTCCAGTCATGTCTGACTCTGGGGTGTGGTGCTCATCTCCATTTCTAAGCCGAAGAGCCAGCGTTGTCCGTAGACACCTCCAAGGTCATGTGGCCGACATGACTGCATGGAGCGCCCTTACATTCCCGCCGGAGCGGTACCTATTGATCTACTCACATTTGCATGTTTTCAAACTGCTAGGTTGGCAGAAGCTAGGGCTGACAACGGAAGCTCACGCCGCTCCCCGGAATCGAACCTGCGACCTTTCGATCAACAAGCTCAGCAGCCAAGTGCTTTAACCCACTGCGCCACGGGGGCTCCCCAATCTCTACCAGTGTTCATATTTGGGCATATTGAGTAATTGTGCCAAGCTTGGTCCAGATCCATCATTCTTTGAGTCCACAGTGCTTTCTGGATGTAGATGAACTATAGCTCCAAAACTCAAGGTCGATGCCCACCAAACCCTTCCAGTATTTTCTGTTGGTCGTGGGAGTTCTGTGTGACAAGTTTGGTTCAATTCCATTGTTGGTGGAGTTCAGAATACTCTTTGGTTGTAGGTGAACTATACATCCCAGAAACTACAACTCCCGAATGACAAAATCAATTCCTCCAACCCCACCAGTATTCAGATTTGGACGTATTGGATATTTGTGCCAAATTTGGTCCAGTGAATGAAAATACATTCTGCTTATCAGATATTTACATGCTGATTCATAACAATAGCAAAATTACAGTTATGAAGTAGCAAAGAAAATAATGTTATGGTTGGGGGTCACCACAATATGAGGAACTGTATTAAGGTGTTGCGGCATTAGGAAGGTTGAAAACCGCTGGAGTAGATCAATAGGTACCACTCCAATGGGAAGGTAACAGTGCTCCATGCAGTCATGCTGGCCACATGACCTTGGAAGCGTCTATGGACAATGCTGGCTCTTCAACCCCCAGAGTCAGACACGACTGGACTTAGTCAAGGGAAAACCTTTACTAGCCTTAAAGATAATAAAGACTGCAGGTAAACCGAAAAAGGTGACATATGACATGTTCCTGATAGGGGTTTTAAGTTCTTCTGACTCCAGCAACAGCTAGTTAGTAGCCAGCTGCATTAAATCACTACTGACCGAAAGGTCATGAGTTTGAAACCAGCCCGGGTTGGAGGAAGCTCCTGACCATTAATAGTCTAGCTTGCTGTTGACCTATGCAACCCAAAAGACAGTTGCATCTGTCAAGTAGGAAATGTAGTACCACTTTAGGTGGGGAGTGTAATTTAACTAATTTACAACACCATAAAACCTTCCAGTAGCATGCAGAAGAATGAGGAAGTACTCCTTCAAAGAACTTGGGTGTCACAAGTGGACGGTGAAGTGGTAGCTCCCCTTGTGGCCGGAATCGAGCCCTCATAAAGCTGAAAAAGCTGGAATGTTAAATGCCTCTGTGTCTGTTTATATATGTTGTATGTCTATGGCATTGAATGTTTGCCATGTAATGCGCCCTGAGTCCCCTGCGGGGTGAGAAGGGCGGAATATAAATACTGTAAAAAAAAAATTTTTGTCGTATCAGGAGCAACTTGAGAAACTGCAAGTTGCTTCTGGTGTGAGATAATTGGCCGTCTGCAAGGACTTTGCCCATGGGACGCCTGGATGATTTGATGTTTTTATCATCCTTGTGGGAGGCTTCTCTCATGTCCCCGCATGAGGAGCTGGAGCTGACAGAGGGAGCTCATCCGCCTCTCCCCGGATTCGAACTTGCGACCTATTGGTCTTCGGTCCTGCCGGCTCAGGGGCTTAACCCACTGCGCTACCAGGGGAATAAATAATACTTCCATATTTCCATATTTCTGCCTGCCTGAATAACCAAGTCTTGTTTCCTAAATGTTAGGAGGGAGGGAGCCAATTTAATCTCACTGGGGAGGGGCCACTATCGAGAAGGCCCTGTCTCTCGTCACCGCCAATTGCACCTGTGATAGCAGTGAGACTGAGAGCAGGACCTCCCCAGCAGATCTGAGTGTACCGGCATTGGGAATACTGAGAGTTGTAGTTTCAAGGAGACAGCAAGGTGTGCTATCTTTTCTCATATTCAAATCTACATCATGTTTTGTTTTCTTATCCAGATGATTGAGACTGAATGCTTTAAAGATCTCAATGTTTTTGGACCAAATGGCACCCGATCCCCAGACCTGGACTGGAAGCAGCTTCCGGACCCCCCCAAGCGCAGCCTTCTCCAGAGGCTTTTCCGACGTAACGTAAGTCCGCGCTCCTTGTTTTCGTATGATCCTTTGCACCTTTTCTGCTTTCTGTCTGTGCTGCAACTTCCTCTAATACTGCCTTTGCTGTAGTGCTACAGTTCCAGTACTTTTAGATACCCAGTGATTTCGTGCCGCTGTTTGTCTCCCAAATGATATGTTGATCACATCTTTATGCATATGTCTATTCAGAAGGGAGTCCTCAGTGGAGATTAATTCCAATTACAGTCTGATTTTCTACTGCCAAATTCTGAGGGCTTCCACAAAACCACATTTTAAAATAATAAAAATAATATAATAAATAATAAAAAAATATTATTAAAATAATAATTAATATAATAATAATGATAATAATAAATATTTTGAAATATTATTATTAAAATTATTAATAAAATATTATTAAAATAATAATTAATATAATAATAATAAGCCAGTCAAGGTTATAATAATAATAATAATAAGCCAGTCAAGGTGGTCCCAGTGGTCATCGGCTTTGAAGAGTTTTAGAAAGAAACGTATGTCACTCATGGAACTGCAATATCCCATTTGTAATAATAATAATAACAACAATAATAATAATAATAATATATTATTATTATTATTATTATTATTATATAATAATGATAAGAATAAATAATTTTAAAATATTACTATTAAATTATTAATAAAATATTATTATTATTATTATTAATAATAATAATAATAATAATAATAATAATAGGAAGACGAAGCCAGTTAAGGTGGTCCCAGTGGTGATCGCCTTTGAAGAGTTTTAGAAAGAAACATGTCACTCATGGACCTGCAATATCCCATTTGTAATAATAATAACAATAACAATAACAATAATAATAATAATATATTATTATTATTATTATATAATGATAATAATAATAATTTTAAAATATTATTATTAAAATTATTAATAAAATATTATTAAATGTAATAATTAATATAATAATAATAATAAGCCAGTCAAGGTGGTCACAGTGGTGATCGGCTTTGAAGAGTTTTAGAAAAAAACATATGTCACTCATGGACCTGCAATATCCCATTTATAACAATAACAATAACAATAACAATAATAATAATAATATCATTATTATATAATGATAATAATAAATAATTTTAAAATATTATTATTAAAATGATTAATAAAATATTATTAAACACAATAATTAATATAATAATAATAATAATAATAATAATAATAATAATAATAATAAGCAGCCAGTCAAGGTGGTCACAGTGGTGATCGGCTTTGAAGAGTTTTAGAAAGAAACATATGTCACTCATGGAACTGCAATATCCCATTTGTAATAATAATAATAACATTATTATTATTATATAGTAATATTATTATTACTGAAAAAGCTGACACAATATGAGGATTTAAAGATCGAACTGCAAAGACTCTYGTACAAGCCAGTCAAGGTGGTCCCAGTGGTGATTGGCACACTGGGTGCAGTGCCTAAAGATCTTGGCCTGCACTTAAACACAATCGGCGCTGACAAAATTACCATCTGCCAGCTGCAGAAGGACACCTTACTGGGATCTCCATGCATTATTCGCTTACTAGTGTCCTACGTGTGATCCAATATAACAGCCAGCAGAGTGTCTGCTGTGTGGACTCATCTTGTTATGTTTCAAATAATAATAATAATAATAATAATAATAATAATAATAATAATAATAATACACTTTATTCATATTCATCTTTATGTCCCTGGAGGGACTCAGAGTGGATTATAGTATATATAAGGCAAACGTTCAATGCCTTTTACACAAACAACAACATAAAATACAAAGATAAGGTAAAGGCCTTCCCCTTTTTTCATTTCTGGCATCTGGAGGCGATGCTCAAGTCTGGCCATGGAGAGGTGCTCTTGTTCAATTTTCCATGCCAAAGGAGCCTGCTGTCCATAGACATCTCCAATCTTTTTGCCGGCATGTCTGCATGGGGCGCCCCCGGTACCTATTGATCTACTCGCATTACATCGTTTCAAGCTGCTAGGTTGGCAGAAGCTGGGGCTAACAATGGGAGCTCACCCTGCTTCTTGGATTTGAATCACCAACCTATTGCTCAGCAAGTTCATCAGCTCAGCAGTTTAACTGGCTGTGCCACTGGGGTGCAATAATAATAATAATAATAATAATAATAAAGGAAAATAATAAATGTAATAATAATAGAGTAAAATAATGTAAATGTTATAATAACAATAATAATAAAATTTAGTCACAAAGTGTGGATAAGTGTGGAACTGGGATTGGTAAGCTTAGATCAGTAAGATACATTATATTGAGTGACAATGTAACTGAAATTTCATTATTTGGATTTCTATTACCCTACTTTTGTCTAAAATTAATTTTAAAAAATAAAAATAAAGTAAGTTACATTGTCAGAAGTTTGACTTAGAATCTTGTAAGTGTTTCCCATTAGTAACTGCTTTTTTGATCATGTATAGATGACAATAACATACATTCCACAAAGAAAAATGTTACAAAATAGACTTTCTGCAAAATATGTATATGTCCCAAAGTACAGATATATGTTTGGTGAACAAATAATAATAGGTAAAGGTTTTCCCCTGACATTGAGTCCACTCGTGTCTGACTCTGGGGGTTGGTGCTCATTTCCATTTCTAAGCCGAAGAGCCGCCGTTGTCCATAGACACCTTCAAGGTCATGTGGCCGGCATGACTGCATGGAGCACCGTTACCTTCCTTCTGGAATGGTTCCTATTGATCTACTCACATTTGCATGTGTTTGGACTGCTAGGTTGACAGAAGCTGGGGCTGACAGCGGAAGCTCACGCCACTCCCCGTATTCGAACCTGCAATCTTTCGGTCAACAAGTTTAGCAGCTCGGTGATTTAGCCCACTGTGCCACCAGGGGCTTCAAATAATAATAATAATAATAATAATAATAATAATAATAATAATAATGAAGTGACATCACACATTCTTACTATCTTACTGTGGTGGTGCAGTGGGTTAAACCAATAAGCTGCAAAACTGATCAGAACGTGGTTGGTTGGAATCCACGGACGAGGTGAGCCCCCGTTGTTAGCCCCATCTTCTACCAACCTAGCAGTTCAAACACATGCAAATGTGAGTAGATCCATAGATACTGCTTCTGTGGGAAGGTAACGGCACTCTATGCAGTCATGCTGGCCGCATGACCTTGGAGGCGTCTATGAACAACGCCGGCTCTTCGGCGTAGAAATGGAGATGAGCCCCAACCCCCAGAGTTGGACATGACTAGACTTAACGTCAAGCGGAAACCTTTACCTTTACATTTAAGGTTAAGAAAAACCCAGAAATGTGTCCTTTAGAGCTATTTAGGGAGCAAATTAGTAAAAGGGATGAAGCCAGATTGACAATAGCGAAATCTTGGGAAGGTGAAAAAGAACTAACTAAAAAAAGACTGGAGAGATAAATTAGTAGATTATATTCAAATGGCCAAACTGACAAATAGCAGCAGAGGAAGTAATGAAGAGTTTGGTTGGAATCCACAGATGGGGTGAGTTCCCATTGTTAGCCCCAGCCAGAGGCGGCCCTAGGTAATTTTCAACAGTAAGCAAACAGTATTTTGGCCCCCCCCCCCCCAACCAATCACTGATACATATTTTCTGTTCGTCGTGGGAGTTCTGTGTGCCATATTTGGTTCAATTCCATCATTGGTGGAGTTCAGAATGCTCTTTGATTGTAGGTGAACTATACATCCCAGTAACTACAACTCACATATGTCAATGTCTATTTTCCCCCAAGAGCTCCTCAAGAGCGCCGAGATATATATATATATATATATATATATATATATATATATCATATATACACACATCTACATACACACACACACACACACACAGACACACACACAATATATATATACATTACAAAGTACAATTATATTATTACAGACTATATACATAATATATTTATTATTACAATATCATATTAAATATTATATTATTACATTATATTGTAATATTATTAGTAATATTACATGTAATATAAAATACTACTATAATTATATTGATTATATTATTATTATTATTAGTGCTTTGTCCTGATGTAAACTGTTTGTATGGTTTTTCGTTGGGCATTCAATGTTTCCCATACTTGTTGGAAACCTAAGTAAGGGGCTTTGAATGAAGTTAACAACAAAATAGAAGCATACCCTTTCTCTGTAGAAAAAGAGCAATACGGAAGAAAATGTTTTTAAGAAACAAGATGTGACATGTAGAGGTACAAGAAGGTACTTTCTTACACAGGATGTGTTGTGGTTAACTTCAAAGGTTGTAGTAAAGTGCAGAGTCTGCATGTACAAGAAGGTACTTTCCATCAAAAGGTCAAGGGAGAGGGGCTGGATTATTATTATTATTATTATTATTAAGAGCGCCCCTGGGCAAAATCAGCTATACTGCGAATGCTTACTTTGCGTAATGGGTTGAGCCGCCCCTGGCCCCAGCTTCTACCAACCTAGCAATTCAAAATCATGCAAATGTGAGTAGATCAATAGGTACTGCTTCTGCGGGAAGGTAACGGCACTCCATGCAGTCATGGTGGCCTCATGACCCTGGAGGCGTCTAAGGACAGCGCCGGCTCTTCGGCTTAGAAATGGAGATGAGAACCATCCCCCAGAGTCAGACATGACTACACTTAATGTCAAGGGGAAACCTTTGTTGACCTGGAGGCGTCTAAGGACAGCGCCGGCTCTTCGGCTTAGAAATGGAGATGAGAACCATCCCCCAGAGTCAGACATGACTACACTTAATGTCAAGGGGAAACCTTTGTTGACATCTGCACACAACCAAATGGGGCTTTTCAGTGCCTTGGACTGAGAAAGAACTCTTGTCTGCTTGAGGCAAGTGTGAACGTTGTAACTGGCCACCTTGATTAGCATTGAATGATCTTGCAGCTTAAAAGCCTAGCTGATTCCTGCCTGGGGGAATCCTGCTCTTCGCCCCGCCGCTGTCACTTGCCGCCTTATCGATCGCGGGAGACCATCCGCCGCCGCTGCTATTTTCCATCGCCTAGCTGCTGCCCCGACCTGGGCAGCAGCTGGAGGGAGCGGCTGGATTCGCCAGCGGATTGCAGGAGAGATAGGCTGTGGCAGGCCGCCCATCGCTGCCGCCGCCTCCCACTGTTTCATCGATTGCGGCAGTCCATCCGCCGCCGCCGCCACTAGTATTCCTATCTCGCTGCTGCAGAAGGCAGCAGCTGCAGAAGCGTCTGGAATCGCTGCGGATTGCGGGTGGGTCAGGCCGCAGCAGGCAGGCCATCGCCGCCGCCGCTGCCACCCGCCACCTCACTCATGGCGGCAGGCCATCCATTACTTCTGCCAGCTGTAGCTGCTGCTGTCATCCTGAAGCTGCTGGCCCAACGGGCAGCGGCCAGGTTGTTAACTGGTGCTCCTTACAGAGAGAGGTCAACCCTTCTGTTTAAGGAGCTACATTGGCTGCTGTTCATTTTCCGAGCCCAATTCAAGGTGCAGGTGCTTGCTTACCTACAAAGCCCTAAACGATTTGGGACCTGCCTACCTACGTGACCGCATCTCCATATACGAACCCACACGATCTCTTCGATCATCTGGAGAGGCCCTGCTCACGATCCCACCTGCGTCGCAAGCTCGATTGGTGGGAACGAGGGACAGGGCCTTCTCTGTGGTGGCCCCCCGACTTTGGAACTCTCTCCCCAAGGACATCAGACAAGCCCCAACGTTGGCAGTCTTCAGGAAGAGCCTGAAGACATGGTTGTTCCAGTGTGCCTTCCCAGAATAGGAAACTCCAAGCATCGTGTCCCAAATGCACTTTACTAGAGATTTACGATTGTCTACATACCGCACCTATCTCCAAAAACTTACTCATTTCACCTGGCCATGCCCAGCATTTTTTAAATTTTTAATCATTACATTTGGCCCGGCCTTAGTTTTAAATGCGTCGTGGTGTTATTGTCTAATGTGTATTGCTATTGTTTTAATGCTTATTGTTTTGTTTTGTTTTTTGAGTTTATTTATTGTTGTATTTGTTATGCTGTTGTTTCACTGATGTTTTGGGCCTTGGCCTCTTGTAAGCCGCACCGAGTCCTTCGGGAGATGTTAAAGGTAAAGGTAAAGGTAGTCTCCTGACATTAAGTCCAGTCATGTCTGACTCTGGGGTGTGGTGCTCATCTCCATTTCTAAGCCAAAGAGCTGGCATTGTCCGTAGACACCTCCAAGATCATGTGGCCAGCATGACTGCATAGAGCGCCATTACCTTCAAAGATCTCTTCCTACTCTATAATTTTATTATTGTTGTTGATTGCATGGAGCGCCCTTACCTTCCCGCCGGAGCGGTACCTATTGATCTACTCACATTTGCATGTTTTCGAACTGCTAGGTTGGCAGAAGCTAGGGCTGACAGCGGAAGCTCAGGCCGCTCCCCGGAATCGAACCTGTGACCTTTCGATCAACAAGCTCAGCAGCTCAGTGCTTTAACCCACTGCGCCACTGGGGGCTCCTTCGGGAGATGTTAGCGGGGTATAAATAAAGGTTTATTATTATTATTTGTTGAGATGTGACAGCTGGTCCTGATTGTTTCTCCTTATCTCTCTCTATTTTGCAGCCAAGCGACTTTGCCATCAGCACCAACGCACACTCCAACCTGCCGGCGGCTCCCTCACCGGCTCGGCCCACGGCACAGGCTCCCTCCTGACCCTGCTTCTCTTTACCTGGAGGTCCCCTGGAGCTACCACTGGTCTTTTGCCTTTTCGGGGTTGCCTTAGACCCGTTGCGGGAACAGAGATGCAACTGTCTTGTGAGAGGCTTTGCTACCAGCGAGGAAATCAGCAGTGCGGACACAGCCTTTGGTTCTTTGGGTTGGCCAGGGAATCGGGAGGAAATCAGCGGTGCGGACACAACCTTTTGTTCTTTGGGATGGCCAGGGACTCGGGAGTCCAGACACTTCCTGGTGCTGACACGGATCATGGGTGCCACTCGGACCCTCAATGGGCTTGGTTTCCTTGGAGCTCTTCCTGTCGCTCTTTGTGAAAATCTCCCTTCTGTTTTTATTTCCCCTGCACTTTGACCACACAGAGAACCTCCACTCCTTCACGCAGCCCAGACTTAGACGGAGAACTTTGTCTTCTTCCTTGGAGGAGACCAGAAGATGGTCACTGATGGTCAAAAATGGCATTGAGGAGTGGCGCAACGAGACATGGGTTGAGTCAGAATGGCACCTTGGTGACTGAAGTTGCTGGACGGAGCTCGAGTGCCATATGATCACACTTATAAATGTCCGCATGCATGCACACAGAGTTGTGCATATTAAATTATCTCCTGATGGATCGTTCAGGGTTTTTTCCCCCCAGGAACCCCCCTCCTTATAGTCTCAGAACAATTGTACAGCCAGGGCCCTGTGGGTCAAAGCAATGAAGGGCCTGAGGGCTATTCCAAGAGGACCAAGCTGGGCAGAAAGAGCTCCCGCGCTTCCCTTTAAAGCCTTACGGATGGATGCATTTAGAAGCAAAATGACCGGATTTGCAGCTCCCAGACTCATGGCCGGATTGGAACACAGTTCACGCCAAGATTTGGCCCCTTTTCTGGATTTTGCAGTGTGGGTTCTCAGCTTTAAATGGACCAAAAGTACATATGAGTTGCGTATTTTGTGATAAAAGACCTATAAGATGCATACAAATTCAGCAGTGATTTTTTTAAAATAAAAAATAAACAAACCTCACAGATTATTGTGGGGAAAACCATTCAGCTGAGTAATAAATGAAAATTATAATGACAAATTGAGAAGAGATTAACATGGTCAAGGGTCTCGAGAACAACCCCTATGAGGAGTGGCTTGAGCTAGGAATATTTAGTTTGCAGGAGAGAAAGCTGAGAGAAGACATGATGGCCATGTATGACTTACTTACTTAGAATCATAGAATCAAAGAGTTGGAAGAGACCTCATGGGCCATCCAGTCCAACCCCATTCTGCCAAGAAGCAGGAATATTGCATTCAAATCACCCCCGACAGATGGCCATCTAGCCTCTGTTTAAAAGCTTCCAAAGAAGGAGCCTCCACCACACTCCGGGGCAGAGAGTTCCACTGCTGAACGGCTCTCACAGTCAGGAAGTTCTTCCTCATGTTCAGATGGGATCTCCTTTCTTAGACAATTAGGCGATCCCTCATTGTCTGAGTAGGATAGCCTTCCAAGATCAGTGTACTGGTGGGTCTGTAGGTGACTGTGGAGCCATATTCTTGATCTGCGTCTTCTCCTGCAGTGAGGGCATTGGTTTCCAGGTGGAAGGCGGTCCCGGTCGGGGTTGGCTTGATGCGCCTTCCTCTTGGCATGTTTCTCTCTTTCTCCCTCCATTCGTGCCTCTTCAAATTCTACAGCACTGCTGGTCAAAGCTGACCTCCAGCTGGAGTGCTCAAGGGCCAGGGCTTCCCAGTTCTCAGTGTCTATGCCAGAGTTTTTAAGGTTGGCTTTGAGCCCGTCTTTAAATCTCTTTTCCTGCCCATTGAACCAAAGGGTGATGTCACCCGCTTAGGCCTTTCCTCTCTGCCTGCAGGAGCCAGGCTTGCAGATGGAAACAAGCAGAGCGGCACCTTCACAAAAGGCACTTCCGGTTCTTGGCTTGGCGTCAAAACAGAGACAAAGTGTGCCATTGCCATTAGACGATCCCTCGTTGTCTTCCAAGATTGGTGTCCTGGCGATGGGTCCATAGGTGACTGTGGACATTGGTTTCCAGGTGGAAGGCGGTCCCGGTTGGGGTTGGCTTGATGCACCTTCCTCTTGGCACGTTTCTCTCTTTCTCCCTCCATTCGTGCCTCTTCAAATTCTACAGCACTGCTGCTCACAGCTGACCTCCAGTTGGAGCACTCAAGGGCCAGGGATTCCCAGTTCTCAGTGTCTCATGTATGAATATGTGAGAGGAAGTCATAGGGAGAAGGGAGTAAGCTTGTTTTCTGTTGCCCTGGAGACTAGGATGTGGAACAATGGCTTCAAACTACAGGAAAGAAAGGAGATTCCATCTGAACATTAGGAAAAAACTTCCTGACTCAGAGAGCTGTTCAGCAGTGGAACTCTCTATCCCAGAGTGTGGTGGAGTCTCCTTCTTTGGAGGCTTTTGAACAGAGGTTCTTGCAGGGATGCTTTGAATGTGATTTTCCTGCTTCTTGGCAAGGGGTTGGACGGATGGCCCACAAAATCTCTTCCAGCTCTATTATTCTATGGTTGCTCACAGTGAGGGCATTGGTTTCCAAGTGGAAGGCGGTCCCGGTTGGGGTTGGCTTGATGCGCCTTCCTCTTGGCACGTTTCTCTCTTTCGCCCTCCATTTGTGCCTCTTCAAATTCTACAGCACTGCTGGTCACAGCTGACCTCCAGCTGGAGCGCTCAAGAGCCAGGGATTCCCACTTTCAGTCTCATGTATGAATGTGTGAGGGAAAGTCTTAGGGAGAAGAGAGCTAGCTTGTTTTCTGCTGCCCTGAATGCAGAACAATGGTTTCAAACTACAGGACAGGAGATTCCACCTGAACATGAGGAAGATCTTCCTAACTGTGATAGCTGTTCAGCAGTGGAACTCTCTGCCCCAGAGTGTGGTGGAGTCTCCTTCTTTGGAGGCTTTTAAACAGAGGCTCTCACAGGGATGCTTTGAATGTGATTTTCCTGCTTCTTGGCAAGGGGTTGGACGGATGGCCCACAAAATCCTTCCAACTCTATTATTCGATGGTTGCTCACAGCTTATGTAAACACATAAAAATGGGGAGGGGGACGTATTTTCTTGTTTGGAAATTAAGACAGAATCCTTAATTAGAGGAACTGGTCTTAGGGTTGGCAACACCTGTTGTTGAAACAGGGATGTGACTCTCTTGTGAGAGGCTTTGCTATGGTCAAGGTGAAACGAAGAGATTTTAATTCCTCACTCACTTTCCTCTTTCCCAAACACACCTCTTTAAAAACTGCATCTTCATCCCCTTATTACAGATGATCCATATATCTATATATATATAAATGCTCTGTGCATAATGAGTTCCTTAAAAACAAAAGAACCAATTAATGAAATCACACCAAATTTGGCAACAAAACGTCTCACAACACAAGGAGTGGCCATCACTCAAGAAATTAGGATTTTGTTATTTGGGAATTGTAGTTGCTGGGATTTATAGTTCACCTACAATCAAAGTGCATTCTGAACTCCATCAACGAGGGAATTGAATCAAACTTGGCACCAGAACTCCCATGACCCACAGACAACACTAGAAGGGTTTGGTGGGCATTGACCTTGAGTTTGGGAGTTGTAGTTTACCTACATCCAGAGAGCACTTTGGACTCAAACAATGATGAATCTGGACCAAACTTGGCACAAGCATTCAATATGCCCAAATATGAACACAGATGGAGTTTGGGGGAAATAGAATCTTGACATTTGAGAGTTGTAGTTACTGGGATTTATAGTTCATCTACAATCAAAGAGCATTCTGAACCCCACGAACGACAGAATCGGGGCAAACTTCCCACAGAGAATCCATCATAACAACAGAAAATACTTAAGGCCATCCAATCAAACTCCCTTCATCAGGGCAAGAAAACGTAATCAAAGTCCTCCTGACAAAGAGCAATCCAGCCATAGATATAGATAGATAGATAGATAGATAGATAGATAGATAGATAGATAGATAGATAGAGAGAGAGAGATAGAGATAGATAGATATGATTCACGCACACAGAGATATAGTATCCTAGATTTGAAAGGAACCCCTAAAGAAGGACAATTATATGTTGCATGTTCCGGAGTAGGCAAACCAGACAATCTCCACATCAACACTGACCCATAAACAACAAGGAATTCTGTTCACCCACAAGCAAAAAGGAATTACATATATTAGAAACCATTACTTTATTTTCCAGACCACCAGACTGGGCCACAGCAACGCATGGCAGGGGACGGCTAGTGTGTGTGTGTGTGTGTGTGTGTGTGTGTGTGTGTGTGTGTGTGTGTGTGTATATATATATAGAGAGAGAGAGAGTATCAGAAGCAACTTGAGAAACTGCAAGTTGCTTCTGGTGTGAGAAAATTTATTTATTTATTTATCTACAATGTTTATTTTCTGCCCTTCTCACCCTGAAGGGGACTCAGTGCGGATCACAACACACACATGCACAGAAAACATTCAATGCTGGTTTTATACATACAAGACAGACAGATAGATTGATGTATTTCGGCATTTTCCAATTTCAGCAACTGGAGGTTATGCTCGAATCCGGCCACAGGGGGGTGCTGTCGCTTCATCCACTACGATGACAAGTCCTTTGGATCATAGTATTTGCTTCTTGTTCTTTGATCTCTGTCATTTGCTTTAAGTGGTGCCTAATTTCTCTACTCACACCTCAGCTGATTTCGAACTGCTTAGGTCAGTGTTTATCAACCTGGGGGTCGGGACCCCTGAGGGGGTCACGAGGGGGTGCCAGAGGGGTCGCCAGAGACCATTGGAAAACACAGTATTTTCTTTTGGTCATGGGGATTCTGTGTGGGAAATTTGGCCCAATTCTATTATTGGTGGGGTTCAGAATGCTCTTTGATTGTAGGTGAACTATAAATCCCAGCAAATACAACTCCCCAATGTTAAGGTCTGTTTCCCTTAAACTCCACCACTGTTCACATTTGAGCGTATTGAGTCTTCGTGCCAAGTTTGTTCCAGATCCATCATTGTTTGAGTCCACAGTGCTCTTTGTTTATAGGTAGACTACAACTCCGAAACTCATGGTCAATACCCACCAAACTCTTCCAGTATTTTCTGCTGGTCTTGGGAGTTCTGTGTGCCAAGTTCTGTACGATTCCATCTTTGGTAGAGTTCAGAATGCTCTTTAATTGTAGGTGAACTATAAATCCCAGCAATAACAACTCCCAAATGTCAAGGTCTATTTTCCCCAAACTCCACCAATATTCACATTTGGACATATTGAGAATTTGTGCCAAGTTTGATCCAGATCCATCATTGTTTGAGTCCACAGTGCTCTCTGGATGTAGGTGAACTACAACTCTCAAACGCATGGTCAATACCCACCAAACCCTTCCAGTATTTTCTTTTTGGTCATAGGAGTTCTGTGTGCCAAGTTTGGTTCAATTCCATCATTCAGAATGCTCTTTGATTGTAGGTGAACTACAAATGCCAGCAGCTACAACTCCCAAATGACAAAATCAATCCCCAACTCCACCAGTATTGAAATTCAGATGTATCGGGTATTTGTGCCAAATTTAGTCCAGTGAATGAATATACATCCTGCATATCAGGTATTTACATTACGATTCATAACAGTAGCAAAAGTTATGAAGTAGCAAGGAAAATAATGTTATGGTTGGGGGTCACCACAACATGAGGAAGTGTATGAAGGGGTGGCGGCATTAGGAAGATTGAGAAACACTGGATTAGGTGGACAGTAAGCTAGGCTTAACAGTCGGGTGCTCAATCCAACTCGGGCTTCGAACTTGCCACCTTCCAGTCGGCAGTGATCTATTGCGGCAGGCGATTAACCAGCTGGCCGTCTGCAAGAAAAAAGAGTAGTGTTGTAATATCAAAGTGACGGGAAGCGGTGGACATCAACGTGTGGATGTGAAATGTACCTTGGAGGACTATCCTACACAGACAACAAGGGATGTATAAATATGTGAGAGGAAGCCACAGGGAGGAGGGAGCAAGCTTGTTTTCTGCTTCCTTGGAGACTAGGACACGAAACAATGGCTTCAAACTACAAGAGAGGA